TTCTGATCTGAAAATAACGTGGTTCTGGAGGCACCTCAGAGCTCCTTGAGTGGTGCAGCTGACTACTAACCAAAAAGTTGGTGGTTCAAACCCACCCAGTGATGCTGTGGAAGAAAGGCCTGGTGATCTTCTTCGGTAAAGACTGTTGTTTTAAAACTCATGTTTTACAGAGTAGAACTGCTCCATAGGGTTTTCTTGGCTGTAATCTTAATGGAAGCTGATTGCCAGGCCTTTTCTTCCACAGTACCACTGGGTGGGTCCAAACTATCAACTTTTAGGTTAGCAGTCCAACGCAAACCGTTTCTCCACCTCAGGACCTTTCATAAAGATTACAATCAAGAAAATCCCATGAAGCAGTTCTGCTCGTACACACATGGGGTCGCCAGGAGTCGTAATGGACTCTAGAGCAATGGGTTAGGGTTTGTGTGTGTGTATGCGTGTGTGCGTGTTAAAAGAATCCAACCTAAGATACAACCATAAAGAAAACCTGGCCACTTCACTCATTTGCGGACTTTTTAAAGAAACCTTCATGGGCTGTGTGCTTAGAACACAAACGCGAGGAAGACTCAGGTCCTGCCTGCAACCGACTTGAATTTTCTAACATTAGCAGTTTGTGACATAAGCTGGATCCTAGCAGTAAGAGAAGTGAAGGATGGGAGTACAGTGTCTTAAAAGGGTCTGCTAGGTCAAGTCCCTCTTCCTAACTCCAAACTCAGTGTGTGTTCTCTGCGCTTCCAACCTGAAATCAAAAGAGAGCTGCTTCCCAACAGAACCCAGGCTCCAATCCAAAGGTTTTTATGAGTACAGTAAGGATTCACTTTCTCTCATTTTACCAACTTTAACCGCCCCCCACTCCTCCCCAGCCAGGAGCCTGGGCTTGGGGAGGAGAAAGACAAGACCCCAGGTGGGTGGAGATTCCCTACCGGCGGTGTGTGTGCTCTTTCCGGCGAAGGCAGATCGGCTACCAGTACAAATCTATGCGCCTCTCGTTCTGTCTGACTTGGGGGGAAAAGGGAAAGGAAGGAAGGGATACAAGAAACGGGGTGTGTGTGTGTGGGGGGGAGTATATTTACACGCATTTATACATACTTCAGTGTTTGTTTATACAAGGACTGTCATAGAAAGATATATACTGTAAGCTGGCAATAATTGGTAGATGGGGTGAAGACTGAGAGGGAGCCTTATTTTCCACTGGATTAGGTACGTGTATCCCGTATTTGGAGCCCTTGTGGCGCAGTGGTTAAGAGATCGACTGCTAACCAAAAGGTAGGTAGTTTGAATCCACCAGCTGCTCCTTGGAAACCCTACAGGGCAATTCTACTCTGTCCTATAGGGTCGCTATGAGTCGGAATCGACTCGATGGCAACGGATTATTCTTTATTTAAAAATGAACCACCAAAATTTTAAAAATGCACGGAAAGGAGAAAAAATCAGAAGGTCACAGGGGCGCTGTTTTGCCGGTATAGGTGATAATTTAGACAACGATTTTCGGGAGGGGATTAAAACTTCGATCTGAAGCTATGTTCAGCGCATAAAAATGAGAATTATTGGAGGTTGCGATCTTCAGGGTGGCTTAATTTTCAGGGAAAAATATACATCTGTAACGGTTCATTTCAAGAAAGTGCATTATTTATACCAGATCGTTTCTGGCTAGAAAAATGACCGAACCCCTTGCCGTGCCATTGTTCCCACAATGCCGTGACTCGGATTCGAACCGAGGTTGCTGCGGCCACAACGCAGAGTACTAACCACTATACGATCACGGCGAGCTACCGGGGACTCGCAAGACTGTTCTTCTGATTGTCCTCTTCAATAGTCACAAGCCTTGCCAGCCTGTACGTCATTAAACGGGAGGGGCTCCACCCAAGGCCAAGTCTGAGAATGCGCAAGCGCATTGTACGCTCGCCGGTTGCTTGGGTTCTCTCCTGGTTTGGTCTCTTGGCCGTCAGGGACAGTGATAAAGCGATGCGGAGAGGTGGGCTCCGTGTGAGCGCCCTGGGGGACTGACGGGGACCTCTTGGGCCTTCAGGGATGGGGCTTGCCGGAGCTCAGAGTGCTCACATGCCGTGTAACTCCCATTCCTTAGAAGACGCCCATCTCCTGTGCCCAGTAGACCTTTCCAGCGAACCTCCAGATTTCCCTGGTCTACCGGGAACCTTAACAACAGCAGGGGGCGCTCCTCAGGGTTCCTCCTCTGCTGATTCTCCCAAGACTGACCCAATGCCGCTTCTGCGGAGGGTGTGGGCGCCCCCAGAACAGGGCCGGGCATGTGGAAGGAGCTCAGTGAATGCTTCTCTCCCTCTGCCCTCCCACACTTTTCCTTCCAGTTCCTCCTACTCTTCGAATGGCCCTGACTCCTCTCTCCGGAGTTCCACCGCCAGGCCCGGTATCCACCTCTGTTGTGCGTCTGAGGGGGCCGGCAGGTTTTTCTTCGTGTCCATCAGCGTCCCGCCCCCAGGGCGCCTGAAACAGGGCCAGGTACACAGTAGGCAGTGGCAATTCGCTAAACTGAGAACGTGCCATTGGTATCTGACAAGTGAATGCAGAGTGACGACCCGTCCCCACGTCGCCCGCTCCCAATAACCCTCCAGAGCCGCCAGAGGGATCTTCTTAACACGACTTGAACCCTTTCACTCTGCCTCACCCACTCTTACCTCTAGACTGCAGGAAATTCGTCTCCTTTTCCCATCTTCATTTCTTGGTCCTTCCTCAGAGTCGTTCCTCATTCTCTAATTACTTGCATTCTTTCACTCAGCAGGTGCCTGAGAAGCGCCTACTACCTGTCAGGCCAGAGCCTTTGGGCATTGCGAGGGCGGGGAAGACAGAAGACTTAACAAAAGGGAATTTCTTTTTCAAGACTTACTTCAAAAGTCTTTGCAACCCCGACATTACTGGCACTAATGAAAAAAAAAAAAAAAAAAAAAAAAAAACCCAGAAAATAACAAATGTTGGAGACGCTGCAGGGAGATTGGAACCCTTATGCACTGCTGGTGGGAATGCAAAATGGTACAACCATTTTGGAAAACAATGTGGTGCTTCCTTAAAAAGCTAGAAATAGAAATACTATACTTCCAGCTCTCCCACTCCTAGGAACATATCCTAGAGAAATAAGAGCCGTCACAGGAATAGGCATATGCATGCCCATGTCCATTGCAACATTGTTCACAATAGCAAAAAGATGGAAACAACCTAAGTGCCCACAGACAGATGACTGAATACACAAACTATGGTACATACACACAATGGAGTACTACGCAATATAGAGAACAATGATGAATCTGTGAAACATCTCACAACATGGATGAATCTGGAGCATATTATGCAGAGTGAAAAAATAGTCAATCACAAAACAACAAATACTGTATGAGACTACTATTACAAAAATTTGTGAAAAGGTTTACACGCGGAAAGAAACAATCTTCAATGGTTACAAGGGAGGGGAGGGGTGGGGAGAGAAAAACAGTAACTAGACAAGAGGTAAGTGTTAACTTTGGTGAAGGGTAAGAGTACACAATACTGGGGAAGTCAGCACAACTTGACCAAGGCAAAGTTGTAGAAGCTTCATGGATACATCCAAACTCCCCGAGGGACCAAGTTACTGGGCTGAGGACTGGGGGCCATGGTCTCAGGGGACATCTAGCTCAATTGCTATAACATAGTTTATAAAGAAAATGCCCTGCATCCTACTTTGGTGAGTAGCATCTGGGGTCTTAAAAGCTTGTAAGCAGCCATCTAAGATAGTCCACTGGTCTCACCCTGTCTGGAGCAAGTGAGAATGAAGAAAACCAAAGACACAAGGGAAAGATTAGTCCAAAGAACTAATGGACCACAACTACCACAGCCTCCAACAGACTGAGTCCAGCACAACTAGGTGATACCTGGCTACCACCACCAACTACTCTGACAGGGATCACAACAGAGGGTCCTGGAAGAGCTGTAGAAAAATGTAAAACAAAATTCTAACTCACAAAAAAAGACCAGACTTACTGGTCTGACAGAGACTGGAGAAATCCAGAGAATATGGCCCTTGGACACCCTTTTAACTCAGTACTGAAATCACTCCTGAGGTTCACCCATCAGCTGAAGATTAGACAGGCTTATAAAAAAAACAATAACACACGTAGCTCGACCACTACGTGTACGAGACTATATGGGCACACCAACCCAGGGGCAAGGACTAGAAGGCAGGAAGGGACAGAAAAGCTGGATGAATGGAAATGGGGAACCGAAGGTCGAGAAGGGGAGAGTGTTGAGAAGTCACGAGGTGGGCAACCAATGTCACAAAACAATGCGCATTAATTGTTTAATGAGAAACTAGTTTGCACTGTTAACTTTCATCTAAAGCACACACACGCAAATTAATAATAATAATAAAAGTCTTTGCACATGAGATTTTCTTGGCTGCTTGACAAATTCCTATTCTGCCTTTAAGAGCTACCTCGAAGGTCACCTCCTCTATGAAGACTTCCCTTCTATTAGAAATCCATTTTCAATGCTTCCATGGAACTTGTACATATATGTCTATTACAACGCTTATCAGCCTCTGTGCTTTGACCCTGAAAATGACACGTGCATACCCCCAGAAAAACTGGCCTGCGGTCTTCGGAAGTCCATCTTCGCCAGAGTTGGTATAAATGTCCTTTATAACGGTCACAAACGGGGTAGAGGCTATTTTTGAGAATGTTACAGACTCGAGATAAAAATGAAGGAAAGTAATAAAAGTTGCGTATCTCCTGCCGTGTCATTGTTTTCACAATGCCGTGACTCGGATTCGAACCGAGGTTGCTGCGGCCACAACGCAGAGTACTAACCACTATACGATCACGGCGAGCTACGGAAGACACACGCCTTTTATGTCTCGCCTGTACTCTTCTCTGTTAAAAGTCCCGCCCCCTTGAAATGACATTGATTCATCATTGCCTGATCCAGCTCAGCTCCAACCAGGCGGTTCCCTGAGCACACGCAGGCGCAGTGGCCTCCTCTGCCTTCTAGAGTCTCACTCGTGCTGGCTCTCTGACCACGTCGGGCGACCGGCGACGGTGGGAGCTGCGCTCGAGGTTCCTGTTCCCCCAGACCTCGAAGGAAGTTGTGCGGGTGTTTCGGAACTGATTTTCCATCTTGTGGAATTTAAGGGACAGCCCAGCCCCAAGCAGTGTCCGTCCAGATAGTGTGGCAGCCGGGATATATATTTTGGGGGTGAGAGGTACCCCGGGACCACCAGGCGACCCTGGGGCCTAACATCGTAGGGGCTGCGGGGGAGTCTCAGTGTCCTTGAGCCTGGCCCCATAGGAGCTCTTTAGTTTACGGAGCACTTTACGGTCGTTGTCTTGCAGTCCGCGAGGACGGGCAAACAGAGACTTCAGGCTGGGGAGCCCACGGCACCGTGCCCGCCACCTAGAGACCCCCTTGGGGTACGACGGCCGGGGAGGGCCTTCCGCCACCCTACTTCACTTCAGGATCGGCGCAAGGTGCAGAAGGTCTTGGTAATTGATAGAAAACTTACTACGGTCACCTAGGATGACACCCGATCTCAAGCGACTTGTGGCGTCCCGGTAGCTCGCCGTGATCGTATAGTGGTTAGTACTCTGCGTTGTGGCCGCAGCAACCTCGGTTCGAATCCGAGTCACGGCATTGTGGGAACAATGGCACGGCAAGGGCGTCTTTTTAGACTCGGGAAGCCACATTCTATTCCCTGCTTAGGTTGGGCTGCTAAGTATCAGGGCAAGGAGGAAATTACGCCGCAGCCATTACGAGTGCTCTACGGAGAGCGGAAACTCTCGGCCTTTCCTTTAAGTTTTTCATCTGCTAGTTTATCAGCCAACCTCCATCTTCCCCATTATGTGATTGTTTTACTTGAGGACATTTCTGCTCGGTACCCCTTCTGTTTCCTCATTTGGCCTCTGTCAATGGGTACATCATATATTTGGTCCTCTAAAAGCCTCAGACTGGCTAAAACGTCAATATTTTGGGTGTAGGGCTTATAGGAACAAGGGGCAAACATTTATTAAACATCAGAAGAGTGCAGAGTAGACAGTACATTGCATTCTTGGTTCAGATCCTGTGAAAAGCAAAAAATATGACAGCAGTGGAGGCGCGCGTTCCCATAGCCACTCCAAGGGGTGCTAATGAGGGAATTTTGGCTCCATCTCCACAGCCCCATAGGTGGGAGCATGTTTTCTCCTGGAGGCTTCTTCCCAATCTACCTGAGCTTTAAAGCCAGTTTTATTTGTTGGTTTGTTTTATATGCACTTAAAAACCCCAAGCTCAGCATGGGACTGTCATTTGGCATTGGGCAAAACGGAAGTGAGTTTTGGATTCGGCTCCCAGGTGCCTGGCAGGCAACTGTGTCACTGTCAAGGAGGGAATGAGATAAGACTGCATGCGCAATGAGCCTCTCCAGCTCCTCCCATGGGGCCTGGAGGTGGTGAAGCCAATCAAGGAGCATGCCTGGGAGAGATGGGCCTTGCAGTGGGGTTGTGCCCTCTTTACCAACAATCCATCAGCAAGGACTTGCTAGACAGTGTGTAAAAGCAAGACACTACTGTGGACTGCAATTTTCCCAGGTATCCCATCTACTAGTTCCTTTCATTTGATGAGTTTAAAGCCACACCACAGGTCAGCTCAGACCAGGAGAGTGCTATGAGCAGAATAGAATGGGGTTAAGGGGAGCCTGGGAACCGGCCAGGCTTTGGATGACTAGGTTAAGGGTTATATATTTAGAAAATCAACTGCACCTACAAAAACAGAACAGCCAACAGGAATGTGATGACTTTTATGCCTTGGACTATTCATCAAATAACTACAGTGAAGGTTTTAAAATCTACAGATTGGAATGAGGTGTCAGGGTAGGAAGGAAGGAAAGGAAGGCTCTGGCTTTCCGCCTGATGGCCTTGTCGCCATACCCCCAACTCCTCTTTGCAGGTGCTTCTGTGCTCTAGGAAACAAGATGCTTCTAGAATCTGGGGAGAAAGTCAGGAGAAGTGATTCTCTAAGAGTATGACAAGTAAAAACAGTCCGCCAGCAAAACAAAAGCCACAGATATACACCATCTCCGGTAACCCACTCTAGCCATCCGGGTCTATTCAAGGTAACGGAAGTGTATTCTGAGGCTGGGGTGCTCAGGAAAGCTGAACTGAAATTGCTACGTTGCAGGAAGAGTAACAGAAGGGGAGGATCCTCTTCTCTACTCCTGGCTGCTGGTCTTCTTGGCAGGTATACAGTTATTCTGGAGATGGGCGCATCAAAATTTTATAACATCCTCTTCTGAGGTCATTCAATTAATTCCCCTTGCTCTGAGTTCAGGCCCACAAAGCAGACTTTTGACAGTGATTTGACTGCCCATGTAGACATTCCTGCAGGGAAGAGCATTGCTCTGACCAACCTTCTGATTTGTTGGCACTTATTCTTATCACTGTTGGTATTTTGATTTAGACTTGTAAGAATCTAGTTGTTAGAAACCCTGAGAGTATGGCCCTCGCTACTGAAGTTACTCTTGAGGTTCACCCTTCAGCTAAAGATTAGACAGGTCTATAGGGCCAACAATAAGACGTGAAGGACGTGCTTCATAGTTCAAACATGTACACATGACTAATGGGCACACCAGCCCAAAAGCAAAGACTAGAAGGCAGGAAAGGACAGGAAAACTGGAGAAATGGAAACAGGGAAACTGGGGTGGAGAAGGGGAGAATATTGACACATTGCAGGGTTGGCAACCAATGTCACAAAACAGTTTGTATATTAACTGTTTAATGAGAAACTAATTTACTCTGTAAACTGTCACCTAAATCACAATTAAAAATTTTTGGTTGCTGTGGTTCATTTCCCTTGAGGCTGCTCACCACTGGGTGCACTGACAAAATGGAGTTTCTGGGCTAGCAAAGCTGAGAGCTAGAGACCCTGGCCTGGGATGACTTCACCAAGACCTTGCTGTCTTAGAACACCCGCCCTGAGCAGTCAGCACACTCCTGCACACCACCCCCACCCCCCCAATCCTCACCTCCACCTCCATCTCTTTCTTTAAAACCAACACTTACCTTTTGTGATTTCTGATTCTGGAAATGTGGTCCTTCCTGCACCCCCCTCCCAGCTTGGGGTCCGAGCTGTTCTCTAGGCCTCAGCACCAGGAAAGAAGCAGGCTGTGTAAGAGCTCTTGCTCACACATTCCAGCTCCAGCTGTTCCAGTCTTGGTCGGATTTGTTAGTTTCTGCAGATTTTCAGTCTCCATTCTAAGTCACTTTGAATTTTTTTTCTTCCTTTCTTACTCTGAGGTACAGTAAATAGCTGACACCTTTTCTCTAGGCTAGTCCTAACACTAATTAAGGGGTAGCGTAGCTTAGTACACAGGAATCAAATCGACTACATCTGTGGAAACAGATGATGGAGAAGCTCAATATCATCAGTCAGAACAGGGCCAAGCACTGACTGCGGAACAGACCATCAGTTGCTCATATGCAAGTTAAAGTTGAAGCTGAAGAAAATTAAAACAACCCCATGAGAATCAAAACACAACCTTGAGTTCATCACACCTGAATTTGGAGACCATCTCAAGAATAGATTTCATGCATTGAACACTAATGACCAAAGACCAGACTAATTGTGGAATGACATCAAGGACATCATACATGAAGAAAGCAAAAGGTCATTAAAAAGACAGGAAAGAAAGAGTAGCCCAAAATGGATGTCAGAAGAGACTCTGAAACTTGCTCTTGAATGTCGAGTAGCTAAAGCCAATGGAAGAAATGATGAAGTAAAAGAGCTGAACAGAAGATTTCAAACTGCGGCTCAAGAAGACAAAATAAAGTATTATAATTAAATGTGCAAAGACCTGGAGTTAGAAAACCAAAAAGGAAGAAGATGCTTGGAATTTCTCAAGCTAAAAGAACTGAAGAAAAATTCAAGCTTTTGAAATCTTCTATTCAGCTCTTTTACTCAATCATTTCTTCCGTTCACTTTAGCTACTCTATGTTCAAGAGAAAATTTCAGAGTCCCTCCTGACATCCATTTTGGTCTTTTATTTCTTGTCTTTTTAATGACCTTTTGCTTTCTTCATGTATGATGTCCTTGATGTCATTCCACAACTCCTGCGGTCTTTGGTCATTAGTGTTCAATGCGTCAAATCTATTCTTGAGATGGTCTCTAACTTCAGTTGGGATCTTCTCAAGGTTGTATTTTGATTCTCGTGGAGTTGTTTTAATTTTCTTTAGCTTCAACTTTAACTTGCATATGAGCAGTTGATAGTCTGTTCTGCAGTCGGCCGCTGACCTTGTTCTTACTGATGATATTGAGCTTCTCCATCGTCTCTTTCCACAGATGTAGTCGATTTGATTCCTGTGTATTCCGTCCGGTGAGGTCCATGTGCATAGCTGCTGTTTATGTTGTTGAAAAAAGGTATTTGCAATGAGTAAGTCATTGGCCTTGCAAAATTCTATCACATCATCTCCGGCATCGTTTCTATCAATCTGTATGCTGAGCAAATAATCCGAAAAGCTGGATTATATGAAGAAAAACATGACATCAGGATTGGAGGAAGACTCAGTAACAACCTGTGATATGAAGATGACACAATCTTGCTTGCTGAAAGTGGCGTAGGCAAAGAATATTGAATATACCATGGACTGCCAGAAGAACGAACAAATCTGTCTTGGAAGAAGTATAATCAGAATACTCCTCAGAAGAGAGGATGGCGAGACTTTGCCTCACATACTTTGGATATGTTATCAGGAAGGACCAGTCCCTGGAGAAGGACATCATGCTTGCACAGGGTCAGCAAAAAAGAGGAAGACCCTCAACGAGATGGATTGACACAGTGGCTGCAACAATGGGCTCAAGCATAACAATGATTGTGAGGATGGCACATGACCAGGCAGTGTTTCTTTCTGTTGTACATCAGAACCGACTGGATGGCACCTAAAAACAGCATATATATATGTATATATATATTTTGGTATAAGTGCATAGACTTCTAAGGGGCAAACTGTGAAGGAGCCATTTAGATACATAAGCTTCAGAGTGTTTGCTTAAACAATCAGCTCCATGGCTTTCTGGTCACACATAGCTTATCTGGGAGCTGCTGCAGCTGCAGGTCACCACATAGGTGCTGTATAGACTGGACCAGCAG